GGACTCGTCGCTCCCATATAACACCGCTGCTGCGCGAGCTGCACTGGTTACCAGTGGTCTTCCGGGTGCGCTTTAAGGTGTTAGTTACCACCTTTAAAGCGCTCCATGGCATTGGACCTGGTTACCTCCGAGACCGCCTTCTGCCACAGATTCCCTCCCACAGACCGGTACGCTCCCACAGAGTGGGCCTCCTCAGGGTACCGTCGGCCAAGCAATGTAGGCTGGCGACCCCCAGGGGGAGGGCCTTCTCTGTGGGTGCCCCCACCCTCTGGAACGAACTCCCCCCCGAGATCCGGATGATTCCGGATCTCCTTACTTTCCGCCGCGCCCTCAAGACATGGCTTTTCCAGCAAGCAGGCCTGACCTAGGGAGGATTTTAGGTAGGGATTTTAGGTAGGGACGTTTTTAAAAAGTAATTTTAATGGGAACACAGCAATCAATATTTGGCTTTTAATTAGGTTTTAGTGGGGTTATTTTGTGTATTTTTGTATGATTTTTTTGTATCCTGTATATTGTATTTGTGTTTTTAATATGCTGTGAATCGCCCTGAGTCCTACGGGAGAAGGGCGGTATACAAATTAAATTAACCTTAAATTAACCTTAACCTTAATAGGGTAACCAAGTACCTCACTCCAAATATCATTTGCCTTCAGAACAATGAAAGGTAATTAATGATCTAGACTGTAAAAATCAGGACAGTCATCAGATAATGGTGAAGAGTTAGAGAATTCTACATCTCTGCTGCTTTCTAGTAATCATCTGGATTTTTGCAGCTCAGATCTGGTAGCTATAATAATATAATAAGGAGAAAAGTCCTTATGAAGTTTGACACTCCGAATAATCTATAGATAGTGACTTGCTCAAGTGAACCAATGCATAACAGAATGGGTTAGAAAGGCAGGCTGGACATTTGTCTGCAATTCTTTTATCAGCATACCTGCACAGAGTTTAAAGAAAAAAGTAAAATCTCCTTCAAGTTGAGCTGAACTCAACTTGATACAGATACACTTTTCTGGAAACAGTACAGAAGTGGTTTGGTATTGCTTTCTTTTGGGCCGTTTAAAAAAACAAAACAAAACTTTCAGGCCCTATTATTCTCTGGTAGTCTCCAAGATTTAACCAGTATGGCTATTCTTAGTTTCAGAACTCAATGTCAACTTTCTGGTCCATCAGTCAAGGCAGATTGGGTTTGCACATTCCATGGTTTGTTTAAATCTCATTATAAATAAGGTACGCATGACTGGCTCTTCACTACAAACTCTAGTGGCTTGGTCCACAAAACTTGCTGGCCCAAAATGAAACAAACCAATTTTTAAACTGCAACAAACAGGTATTTTTCTTTCTATGACATCCTATGTCTGAACCATCAATTTGAGCAGGGCTATCATGCCAACAGTTTTATTTGCCAGTACCTAAAAATGACTAATTAGTCAGCAAGAGAAATAAGAGACATTTTAAATGTGATGGGAGTGTATTTAGTTCTACTATTGTACTATTATTGTTTACTGTGCAAGTGATGCTGTGCAACTGATTGTTTACTGTGCAAGTGATGAAATGAGCCTCTTGGCATGACATCACATGCATGTACCAAAGAGGTTTAGTTACTCATAAGCCCTGTTTTGTCATTCTAACCAAATGGACGGATTCTGCAGATTCTCTTCTGCAGAGAAAAAAAGAACTGTGGCAGAGGAACTGGGGCTGAGAAGAGTGCTAGGATGAGCCCTAGCCAAAGATTACACAGGGATTTAAAGCCTTCAGAATCATGGAAGATGTTAAGCAAGCCATATATTGCTACCTAAATTGTGACTACTCTAATGGGACTTTGATTAAATAAAGAATAGTGTGTTGATTCAATTAGATCTTTCCTGAACTCTCTCACTGTTTCAAGTTTACCCTCCCATGTATCTGGGATGGGTGAAAAGAGGAAGATCTGAGATATTGTTGCTAAAGCAGCCCTATTTTTATCTGTCCCTTTTTTATCTGTCTATATATGAAGACCAGAAAGAGAAGTTGATTACAGACTTTTGCCACCAATAGCCATGGCCAAAGTACTTCAACCAACTACCAAACATAGGTACAGTACAAAAATGTGGTTAAAGCAACTTTTTTTAAAGTCCAATGTAGTCCACAGTTGAGACCCATACATCATATGAGGCAATCTTACATCTGGTTTACAGTAGCACAGAGTATGGGTGACATTCATGTAATCAAATACAAGTAATTTCATATACTCAGAAGACTAGGGAGGACTATAACACAGCCTTATGTCTCACAAGGTATTAAATCTATGAACATTAATTTTTGGAAAGTAAACAACTTATTACGCAATGCCTCAGTTTCAGTCTAAGCTGATACAATTATTTTTGTTTGTGACAACAAGAGCATAGTTTTAAGAAAACTCTATGGATACAACTTTGATTTACTGTCCTCACTCATTAAGATGAGGGGCAGACATTTCCATTCATTAAGGTTAATAGATTTATGAATTAGAATCCTGTATTGCCTTGCTCAACAATAAATAACTATTTATAAGGAGAGTTGAAAAACAATAATGCCAGAGATACCAGCAGTCGTACTTTCAGTATGCTTTCTGGATTTGGAATTATTGTGAGAATAGAAACATTAAATTGAAAAAGCTTTTTATATTCTCAAGTATGTATTAAATACACACACATACAATCTGACACTGAAAGTTATGCAGGTTGAATTCATACATAACTCAAAAATGCAATTGATTCCATTTTATTAATTTATTTAATATCTCTCACTGATGTCAATAATGCATAGAGGGACTTGGATATCACGTATATGCATATATATTTTATTGATATTGCTGTTCAGGTACCTATCAGCCCTAAATAGAATACATCAGCATGCACATATACCCATATAACAAACATTCAGTTTAAAATAAGTACAATTCAAGGTGCTGGTTACCAAAAACTCTACAAGGCTTGGCACCAGGGGTTGAAGGACTGCCTCTCCCCTATTATATCCACCTGGACAATCAGGACAAGAGGGTTGAGTATCTTAGGGGTCCCATCGTACAACTAGTGGGATCAGGAAAAAGCATCTTCTCAGTGGTCGCCCTTTCTCTATGGAACATCATTCCCCCTAGGTATACTTAGCCCCCACCCTGTTACTTTTC